TAAAGTCTCCTACTATTATTGTGTTACTATTAATTTCCTCTTTCATACTCGTTAGCGTTTGCCTTACATATTGCGGTGCTCCTATGTTGGGTGCATATATATTTATAAGTGTTATATCTTCTTCTTGGATTGATCCTTTGATCATTATGTAGTGTCCATCTTTGTCTCTTTTCACAGTCTTTATTTGAAAGTCTATTTTATCTGATATGAGTATTGCGACTCCTGCTTTCTTTTGGTCTCCGTTTGTGTGGAATATTTTTTTCCAGCCCTTCACTTTTAGTCTGTATGTGTCCCTTGCTTTGAGGTGGGTCTCTTGTAGACAGCATATATAGGGGTCTTGCTTTTTTATCCATTCAGCCAGCCTTTGTCTTTTGGTTGGGGCATTCAACCCATTTACATTTAAGGTAATTATTGATAGGTATGGTCCCGTTGCCATTTATTTTGTTGTTTGGGGTTCACGTTTATACCACCTTTCTGTGTTTCCTGTCTAGAGAAGATCCTTTAATATTTGTTGAAGAGCTGGTTTGGTGGTGCTGAATTCTCTCAGCTTTTGCTTGTCTGTAAAGCTTTTGAGTTCTCCTTCATATCTGAATGAGATCCTTGCTGGGTAGAGTAATCTAGGTTGTAGGTTATTCTCTTTCATTACTCTAAGTATGTCCTGCCATTCCCTTCTGGCCTGAAGGGTTTCTATTGCTAGATCAGCTGTTATCCTTATGGGAATCCCTTTGTGTGTTATTTGTTGTTTCTCCCTTGCTGCTTTTAATATTTGTTCTTTGTGTTTGATCTTTGTTAATTTGATTAATATGTGTCTTGGGGTGTTTCGCCTTGGGTTTATCCTGTTTGGTACTCTCTGGGTTTCTTGGACTTGGGTGGCTATTTCCTTCCCCATTTTAGGGAAGTTTTCAGCTATTATCTCCTCGAGTATCTTCTCATGGCCTTTCTTTTTGTCTTCTTCTTCTGGGACTCCTATGATTCGAATGTTGGGGCGTTTCACATTGTCCCAGAGGTCCCTGAGGTTGTCCTCATTTCTTTTGATTCTTTTTTCTTTTTTCCTCTCTGCTTCATTTATTTCCACCATTTTATCTTCTAACTCACTCATCCTATCTTCTGTCTCTGTTATTCTACTCATGGTTCCCTCCAGAGTGTTTTTGATCTCATTTATTTCATTATTAATTTTTAACTGACTTTTACTTCTTCTAGGTCCTTGTTAAACATTTCTTGCATCTTCTCAATCTTTGTCTCCAGGCTATTTATTTGTAACTCCATTTTGTTTTCAAGATTTTGGATCATTTTTATTATCATTATTCTAAATTCTTTTTCAGGTAGATTCCCTATTTCCTCCTCTTTTGTTTGACTTGGTGGGCTTTTTTCATGTTCCTTTAGCTGTTGGGTATTTCTCTGCCTTTTCATCTTGTTTAGATTGCTGTGTCTGGAGTGGGCTTTCTGTATTCTTGTGGTCTGAGGTTCCTTTTTATTGTGGAGGTTTCACCCAGTGGGTGGGGTTGGACGATTGGTTTGTCAAGGTTTCCTGGTTAGGGAAGCTTGTGTCAGCGTTCTGGTGCGTGGAATTGGATTTCTTCTCTCTGGAGTGCAATGGAGTGTCCAGTAATGAGTTTTGCGATGGATCTATGTGTTAGGTGTGACTTTGGAGAGCCTGTATGTTGACACTCAGGTCTATGTTTCTGCGTTGCTAAAGAATTTGCGTGGTATGTCTTGTACTGGAGCTTATTGGCTCTTGGGTGGTGGTTGGTTTTGGTGTAGGTATGGAAACTTTTGGATGGTCTCTTATTCCTTAATGTTCCATGTAGTCAGGAGTTTTCTGGTTTTCTCAAGATTTGGGCTTAAGTCTCCTGCCTCTGGATTTCAGTTTTATTCTTCCAATAGTCTCAAGACTTCTCCAACTATACAGCACTGATAATAAAACTTCTAGGTTAATGGTGAAAAGATTCTCCACCGTGAGAGACAACCAGAGAGGTTCACAGAGTTACATGAAGAATAGGAGAGGGAGGAAGGAGATAGAGGTGATCAGGAGGAGAAAAAAGGGACTCAAGAGGAGAGAGACAGATCTACGCAGTTATCTCTTCCCAAAGTGTTCTCCGTAGCCCAGACACCCACAAAGATTCACAGAGTTGGATAAAACTCCTAGGGGAGAACATAGGAAAAACACTCTCTGACATAAATCACAGCAGGATCCTCTATGACCCACATCCCAGAATTTTAGAAATAAAAGCAAAAATAAACAAATGGGACCTAATGAAACTTAAAAGCTTTTGCACAACAAATGAAACTATAAGCAAGGTGAAAAGACAGCCCTCAGATTGGGAGAAAATAATAGCAAACGAAGCAACAGACAAAGGATTAATCTCAAAAATATACAAGCAACTCCTCCAGCTCAACTCCAGAAAAATAAATGACCCAATCAAAAAATGGGCCAAAGAACTGAACAGACATTTCTCCAAGGAAGACATACAGATGGCTAACAAACACATGAAAAGATGCTCAACATCACTCATTATCAGAGAAATGCAAATCAAAACCACAATGAGGTACCATTACACACCAGTCAGGATGGCTGCTATCCAAAAGTCTACAAGCAATAAATGCTGGAGAGGGTGTGGAGAAAAGGGAACCCTCTTACATTGTTGGTGGGAATGCAAATTAGTACAGCCACTATGGAAAACAGTGTGGAGATTTCTTAAAAAGCTGGAAATAGAACTGCCATATGACCCAGCAATCCCACTTCTGGGCATACACACCGAGGAAACCAGATCTGAAAGAGACACGTGCACCCCAATGTTTATCGCAGCACTGTTTATAATAGCCAGGACATGGAAGCAACCTAGATGCCCATCAGCAGACGAATGGATGACGAAGCTGTGGTACATATACATCATGGAATATTACTCAGCCATTAAAAAGAATTCATTTGAATCAGTTCTAATGAGATGGATGAAACTGGAGCCCATTATACAGAGCGAAGTAAGCCTGAAAGATAAAGACCATTACAGTATACTAACACATATATATGGAATTTAGAAAGATGGTAATGATAACCCTATGTGCAAAACAGAAAAAGAGACTCCTATGTATAGAACAGACTTGTGGACTCTGGGAGAAGGCGAGGGTGGGATGTTTCAAGAGAACAGCATTGAAACACGTATATTATCTAGGGTGAAACAGCTCACCAGCCCAGGTTGGGTGCATGAGACAAGTGCTCGGGCCTGGTGCACTGGGAAGACCCAGAGGGATTGGGTGGAGAGGGAGGTGGGAGGGGGGACCTGGATGGGGAATACATGTAAAAAAAAAAAATGAACTATTTTCAACAATGGAAAAAGAATAAATAAATAAACATATTGTAAACAGTTTAAAAAAAAAAAAGAGAACAGCATCGAAATGTGTATATTATCTAGGGTGAAACAGATCACCAGCCCAAGTTGGGTGCATGAGACAAGTGCTTGGGCCTGGTGCACTGGGAAGACCCAGAGGGATTGGGTGGAGAGGGAGGTGGGAGGGGGGACCGGGATGGGGAATACATGTAAATCCATGGCTAATTCATTTCAATGTATGACAAAAACCACTGCAATGATGTAAAGTAATTAGCCTCCAACTAATAAAAATAACTGAAAAAAATAAAAAATAAAAAAAAATAAAAAAAAATCTTATCTTGTTTCCTTTATGAAGGGATAATAACAAAAGCATGCATTTCATAGGATTGTTTTGAGGATTAATGAGTTAAACCACATATAGTGCTTACAGCATTCAGTAAGTATTAACAGTTGATGTTATTATTAACTTTTATATCTATACAGTAGAAAGATCACTCTGGCTGTCTGTATGGAGGATGATTTGGGATAGAATAGGACAAGAATGGGGAGGAAACAATAGGGGTTTAGTTTGTCCCCTCAAGAGCTCCTGTTGACATTTGCTGGATATTTTTGAGGCATAGTTTTCTGTAATGATTTTAATGAAATCACATACTATAGAGATGGATTTTGTGAAGACTCAATTAAATAAAACCTTCCCATTTTGTTTTTCCTAAGAATGCCCGTGGGATGTCAAACTCTGGAGCTTTCAGAAACTTGCATTCCATAGCTAAACTTTGAGTGTACTGTCTTCAGAGTACAGTTTAGAACTCAGTTTCTGAGAAGGTGCCCTGAGATAAGGAAGCTGTTTCCCAGAATAAGACTGAAAATAGCACAGTTTATTTCTAGTATGGGTTTGAGGCTAACAGTTTATCTTCTGATAGATTCCATGTTACTTTAAAAACTCAGGTTACATATATTGCTGCTTCTTTTATATGGTATTTTGAATATGATTGAGGCAGTGGGTATAATGAAAGGGTCAGAAGATCTGGGCTGTGGACCTAGTTCTGCTACTTACTTAGATATGTAGTCTTAATTATTACGTAGATTTCAGTTCCCTTATCTGTAATATGAGATTAATAATACCCACTGTGTTATCTTACAGGACCGTCATGAGGATCAGTTGAGATCATCTATGTGAAATCACTTGACAAAAGGCACTTTAAAAAAAGAAATGATTTTTTAAAACATTTAAGAATGACTCAAAATATAATGTGATACATGTACATGTTTGTTCCATCGTTAAATGAACTCAGCAAGAGTTGAAAGATATGCCAGACTTGCACCTGTTATACAAGTCACCTTAGTTTGCACATAGTTCAAAATTTATAGGTCCTCACTTGGGGACTCTCTGCTTCCAGTGAAAACTCAGGAATTCTACCTTGAACTTTTTTCCTGCTAAAAAGTTCTTCTTAGTTACTTGTTTGTTTTGAGTTCCATTCCAGAACATTGTGGTTTCTCCAAGTTTAACAATTAATCAATGAGGCACTGGTGCCCCCCTTTCTGGTATATCTACCTTCTGATAAACCCTAGATGAGATATACTGCATCAAAACTGGTGCCTCAACAAAGGCTTTGAAAAGTGCCTCAGAGATCTCTGTCCTTTTAGAAATCTCTCTCACCCACCTCTCCACTAAAGATGGACCTAAAACTAAAAAATCCTGAGTTCTGGTACAGTTTCCATGGCCAGATCCCAGGGCTGCTGGACTGGGACATGAGAAATGAGTTCTTCCTTTCTTGCACCACAGACCAGTGCCCCTTAGTTGAGCAGAACCTTGCCAGATACAGACTTAAAGTAATGGAGACTCCAAAAGTACCTCAGGAGAGGGAATCCAGTCCTGGAAAAGATCGTCCTAACTCTGAACCCAACCTGTGGATGTGGGTGAATCCCAACATTGCATGCTCCCTTGGCAGCCGGGGGACCCCAGAGCCCAGTAAGAAAAAGGATCTTGCACGCATACGCGTTTCTCCTCATCTACTCGCAAAAGATGAAGTATCTAACTGCCCAGAGGCCACAGTGATGCAGTCTCTGCCATCTTCCTCCAGCAAGCAATCTCCCCTACAGAAGTGGATCACCTTTTCCTCCAGTGACAGGGAGCTCATAGAAGAGGAGACCAAGGAAAAAGATAACAACTCCTCTGTGGTCCGCCAGTCTCCAAACAAAAGGGAGTGCTTCCAGAGCCAGAAGCTATGGCAAGGCAACAGCCAGGAGGGGAAGTCCTGGCCTCGTCCCCCCCTCAATTACAGTCACTTAATTGCTCTGGCACTTAGAAACAGCCCTCCCTGTGGCCTCAATGTGCAAGAGATCTACAGTTTCACCCAACAGCATTTCCCCTTTTTCTGGACAGCTCCAGATGGATGGAAGAATACCATCCGTCACAACCTCTGCTTCCTGGACAGCTTTGAGAGGGCACCAGTCAGCCTTCAGGATGGGGCCAGTGCAAGGTCAAGGTCTGGCCTCTGGAGGCTTACTGAGGAGGGACACCGCCGCTTTCAGGAGGAGACTCGTGCCTTAGCCTCTGCTAGAAGAGAGAGTATTCAACAGTGCATGAGCCATCCAGATGTTATGACTTCCCTCTTTGAGCTTTGAACAACCACTGCTCCCTTTCTAGAACACTGCCACCCTTCCTGTGGCTGCCTATGCACTGATTGGCCCTCAGTAATCCCTAAGCCTACTTGGCCTGGTAGGTGCCAAGCCTGTATTTAACTACTGCTTCAAGAATGGTATTAAATAAAGTGAGAGGTGGATACAGAGGAGGAGGCAAAAGCTTAGAAAGTTGTGTAAGGGCAGTGGCAGTTGTTCTGCATTTTGAGCACAAGGAAATCTTAGGGAAAACAGCATGGAAGTTAAGGAGAGAAGAGCATATTAAATGAGAAAAGGAATTCTGTTTCCTGGAGAGTATTCTCACACATGAAAACAAATGGTGGAGTATAAAACATTAAATTCAAGATGGAGACAGACCTTTAAGTCTCAGGTGCAATGTGAAGATATATAAGCATAAAGAGAACTGGTTTTGATGTTTAAAGCCTGAAGATTCAAATGTCCCCCTTCTACCATTCATCAGCTACATCTCCTTTGTCAGCGAACCATTTTACCCTTCAGAGCCTTTTTCCTTTTTTTGATCCTGGACTTCTCAGTCTTGTTCTGTTGCCTTCCACCTTCAGTACTGAAAAAGAATTCCAAGCAGATACTTTTTTACTTTGGATATTGAAAGTTCTTGAATTGAGCTTGTATTAACCTCAAGCCTTTTGATGACAAAACTCTGCTTTCAGTTGTCAAACCTTTATTGTGGATGGGTGTCAAGGTCCATCTGAGATTCTGAGTTTAGTGGGAGACAGACATATAAACAGATATTTGTAATATAAATATAATGAAATAGATGTACAAGGTTGCCATGGAAATGGGGAGATATTTTTTTCCTAGGAAAGGCATCTTAAAGAAAATACATTTTGAGCTAGTTTTGAAGAATAAACAAGGATTTTATGGGCATATAAACTAGAGAAAACATGTTACAAAAAGAAAACATGACAGAAGAAACAGTATGAGCAAAGAAAATGCAGTGTTTGGGGGAATGGTAGGAAGTTCAGCACAGCTTAGCTGTATTAGGGCCAAGAGTTGCAAGAAAGGTGGGCAAGAGGCCTTTCCTCTATTACTTAGGTGTTTGTCATGTGGGCTATTAGGAACTAGGAGGCACAAGTGGTGTTTACTTAAAATAAAAATAAATAATAAACACTTCAGCATTTGTTTTTCTAATTTCAAAATTCATTTTAATATCATTTCCATACAAATAGCTTCCTTTATCAGATTTAAGCATTTCTTTCTGCCTTTTGTATTAATATATTGTTAAAGAAATAACCAGAAGAAAATATATTACATTTTAAGTATGTATTTAGGTGCAAAACTTTCAATAATGGGGATACAAAAATGCCTGTAAAACATAAATAAGTTTAAGAGTTGTAGATCAGTTGAAACCTTTACATTTTTGTGATGGTCTACTATATCTCATATAAAACTATATTAAGATAGAGTTGCAAACAACATTCAAACAATTTTCTTTGAAAAAATAATTTTAGATGCTACTTCTGTATCATTGCTGCTGCTGCTAAGTCGCTTCAGTCTTCAGTTGTGTCCGACTCTGTGCAACCACATAGACGGCAGCCCACCAGGCTCCTCCGTCCATGGGATTCTCCAGGCAAGAGTACTGGAGTGGGTTGCCATTGCCTTCTCCTCTGTTATCATTAGGCGATGTTAACAGAGTACCTTGGAACTAATAAAATATTCTGGCTATAAGTATTCAGCATTTGATTCTCTTTTTTTTCAAAATTAACACATAAGTAAAAGAACCTGTTGTGAAATTAACAAGAATAATTTTATCACAAACTCTGTTTTGAGTAATTTTAATATGTCTACTTCTTAATTTTTCCAAACAATGCAGTTTCATTTTCAGAACTGAATTTGAATTTTCTCCTGCAAATTGGCATCTTTAGGCTTTGAAGCACTCTATTCCATTTTTCCTTAACATTCTTTCTGCTCTAGTTGGAAAAATCAGTGGCTGGCATGACACTTCACTTCTTCAGTTATCTTAGATGATTCAGATCAAGGCAAATCTTCCTTTGAAAGACTATCTTGCTCCTGCTTTTCCTCTTCACCACTATCATGATACTTAAAGCGACCTTCATGGTTACTGCTTTCCAGAGGTCATCCTTTTTCACTGATGCCAGCTGCAGTGCTTGCACTGCTATAACTATTCTTTCCTTTGGGAGGCTTCAAAGTCAGTTCTGGGAAAGCAGGGTGATATTCACCATTCACCACATAAATGAAAACTTTGTTAATGTCGGTAGGTGCTTTGGTATTTATCATATCTGGCATATAGTTAATACAGATATTATTTCCCTTTTGTTTGCTTGCCACTGCCTTCTCACTGAGTTTGGGTATTTTTTTCTGTATTTATTTGAACCCAAACTTTCAGGCTAAGCAGAATGAGAAAAATACATGGATGGCACGGGATTATATTAATTTATTTATGTCATAATCCCTTGATCCTGCGCCTTGCATTTGTGGCCTCAACTTGAGAGCTATCTGAATAAGAAATTTGGTTATTTTTGGTAGTATCTACATGCCTCTTTCCTCTGCCATTCTTCTTTGAAGATATTTCATCCTCTTCATCTTTAAACACAGTGTGAGAATTTCTATCAAACATATGTATTAAATCTCCCTTTCTCTAATTCTTTAAGAACTCACAGTTCTTCTGTATCAGTAGGCAAACTATCTTTTAACTGTTATCCTTTCTGCTAAATATCCTTTCTTCAAAATTGGATAGAGGGTTGGAAAGAGGGTCAGTTTGAAGGATGCTAGTAATCAATTTCCCCCAATTCCTGTGTCACTTTTAGAATCTTTTTCTGGAAAAGATTTCACCTGCTGGTCACCAATTTCAGGAAATTCTTCTGTAATTATGTATTTGAAATAGAAATTCATATTTTCTTGAAATGATATACTTCTTGAGTAGCCTTTTTTTTTTTTTTTTTTTTACTGATAATGAGTCAAGCGTATAGCTTGCTTTGTAGAGCACTTATAAGTTTTTAAAAGTGCAAGTTACTTCAGTAGCAGAGATACATCTTCTTGTCATGAAAGCAAGAGGACAAAATGGTATGGTAGTATTGTAAAGTCAGTCTAAATATGGGATCTTTTTCAAAGGACATCAAAATTGCCTAATAGGACGTTCTGCCAAAGCTGGCTTCTTTCTGCAGATTTAAGGAGTTCCCTTTCCAGATGTTTGAATACTGTCTCCTCTGGGAAAGTGACAGAGGTGGCAAAGACAGCTACAGGGACCAAAATGCTGATGACAGCGGGTTCCAGGACCACGGTCAGGAATGACAACACGGCGGGATTCAGGTTCAGCAAAAAGACTGGGACAGGGGAACAGCACGGATGCGGGGTTCAACAGGGAATGTAGGGACAAAGAGGGGTTCAGTGTGGGCAGGGCTGAGTTCAGGCTCGAAGCCTCCAGCTTCCTAGACCTTGGCAGCAATGGGAGTAGTTTTGCTGGTTTTGAGCTGGGTTTCCTTATCAAGGACTGAAGGAAAAGAGCACGGTGGGGCTGCTCAGCTGCCCGCACAGTGAAGCCTGGGGCAGTGGCAGCAGCTAACTAAAGCTTTCTGGGAGAAGACTTGGATGAGTTCCCTAACCTCAGAACCAATGACTGTAGTTGGCACCTGGAGGGAGGGCTCCACTCAGAAGAAGGCTGAGGCAACTTCTGTGCATTTCTAGTCGTTAAATTTTATACTAGTCGTTGAATTTTATAGCAGTAATAGTCGCGCCTGTGCCACTGTCAATATTACCTCTAAGGTCATACTCTACACTTATGGAGGAGCTTTTGAAAATCGGGGATAACAAATGTACATTTAAAACTTGGAACTCAGTTCATCAGCCTCCCTACTGCCATGTTATCACCGCCCCCAGCTTCACTAGCCTCTGCGATTATAAAAAGAAAAAGCAAATGGCCACACCCACTTTAGGATGAAACGCTCTAAAATGACCAAATAAATCATGGAATCAGTTGTTCCCCCACCCAATTCACAGGGAAATCATCTCCAGAAACACTGAGAAAACAGAACAGGGTTTGGTCCCTTAAAGAGATTAGTCTGGTAGGGACAGAGCTAGGTATATAACAGAGAGGAGCACATAAAGAGCCTAGATTTGGTCAACTCCACACACTATTTTACTACCATAGGCATATTATTTCATAGCTTCTTTTTCTTCACCTATTAAAAAAATTGGCCTTAGAGATTGCTATAAAGTGCCTGCTGTGAATAAGTGCTCTTTGTTTATTCTCCCTCACCATTTATAATTAATAACTGCATTACAGAAGACTAAGAACTCTGGGCTAGAGGTCAAGTATTACCACCAGTTGCTTTTCTCTCTTTGGGATACTGGGAATAAAAAGTGAAAATTAACAAACAGAAACCTCAATTAAAGCAGAGTTGAGAGGCCAAAAAGGGACACTCTCACACACTAATACCATAACATAGCCCAGTAATAAGAAGAAACACTTTATCTTTGTTCCTGGCAAGAACTCAGCCAATGAGAGACTCACAACTCAGCCAATGTAAAACCACTATACTTTGAACTCTTAATTGCCAATGTTGTTGTTGTTGTTGTTCAATGGTTAAGTCGTGTCCAACTCTGTGACCTCATGGACTGCACCATACCAGGCTTCCCTGTCCTTCACTATTTCCCTGAGTTTGCTCAGACTCATGTCCATTAAGTCAGTGATGCCATCCAACCATCTTTGCCAATGAGAGACTCACAACTCAACCAATGAAAAGCCACTATACTTTGAACTCTTAATTTCTCCAGTGAACTCTATGTTTACTATAGCCTTCCTAACTTCCCTTTTCCCTCTAAAAGAGTTGTCTCCTTGTTGAAGAAAGTTGCATGTGGATCACCATGATTGTGGACTCTGCATCACAATTTGCTGACCCCAAATAAAACCATTTTTGCTGTAGAAATAACTGTCAGTGTAATTGTTTTATGTCAACATTTTGGTGGCCCATATGGGGATCCAAAAAAGACTCCCAGTGACTCAGGCT